TTGTCTCGGCTCTTGGCCCTTCTTGTCGTCGGGGCTCGGAACCCACTTCCGCATCACCGCGGCACTGCGCACAGTCACGCGTACTGGCGCGCGCTGGCGCGTTGCTGCGGTGCCGCTGGGCGTGATCGGATCGCAGACGTGCGTAACTGGCATCATGCGGCCCGCTGTCGCGCGACTTCGCGCGCTGACGCGCGGTACCGCATGCTGGTGCGCTTGGCTGGGCGTTGCTGCCGCTATGTGCGGACAACACGACCTAAGGCCGACCCTTGCCCGCCGTTCGGCACTAATTCTTGAACACTCTGACTTCACTGAACATAATTTACTATAATATAACCTGATCGCTGACTTCCCCTGAGAAAAACTACTTTTGCATGATGAACTCAATGGGGCCGTGGCGAGCGCGCCGTGCGCCGCCGACGGCAATACGCCGTCTCCCGACCAACACACCTTCTCCCTCGGTAACTCCAGAACAAATAAACATGAACATTATTTTGAGGCAATTTAAGACATAAATACACGGAAGAACATGATCATTACTGAAGGAAATAGAACATGACTCGAAGCTGCCCGTGGCCACGCGCGATAAGCGCTAGCGACGGTTTGAGCCATTTCACCGATAAAACATCATTTTGCCTCGACTAACATGGACTAACTGGGCATGAAATGATCTAAACTGAACAAATAAACGTGAATTGTACGAGAGTTGCCGGGTAAAACAAGTAGTTGTTCAATCACGATTTACTTTAAGCATATTCAAACTTTAGCACGACAATTCTAGGAATCCTTGAACATGACTCGAACACTTCAACTTAAGATGAACTTAATGACATGAAAGGAAGTTGGAGACGAAATTACCTCTCCAAACGGTCGGCTGAAATCGAAAAGATGGTGTGATGGCTTGGCTCCGTGCGCGTCCGGGTGTGGCCGTGCGGTACGCCTACGCGTGTGGTGTCCTAATATCCCCTTGGCTCTTGCTGAATCTTTGGAATTTGTTTGAGAGAAGAATGTGTTTATGGTTGCTGAACATATAAGTTGCTAAGTGGTGGGAAAATTTTCCAATTCGGATGCTATATATAAAGAGGGCCGAGAGAATTGTTGGTGACGTGGGTAGGATGTGGCCCTTCCTAAACTTAACATTTGGAAGCTAATTGGAAGGCTTAGGGGTGACTAAGCATATGGAACTTCCACCTCATGCTTAATATTAAAACAAAACTTCCCTCACTATGAAGAAATCTAATATGCTTTTCCTTGGTGTGAAGAAGCCAAATTGCTACGGCAATTGGCATTTATTTAGTAGAAATTGACCTTAACCTCACGACTTTAATCCTTGAGTTAGGATTAATTACTAATTAATCATTCATTATGTTTAATTATTAAATTAAACATAATGCTTATTTACCAAAATTATTCCGAACGTAAACGGTACGTCGAAAATAAATTTCGGTAGTCTCGACTGAAAATATTAATTCTGAAAGTTGACAATCTTAATAAATCAGAATTAAAACATAATTTTATACTAACAAAATAACGGGATATTACAATCCTCCCTCCTTACAAAATTTCTGTCCCCGAAAATTCAAAACATAACTGATATACCTGAACTATGTACATAGGATAAAGAAATATGTACATCAAAACTGAAAATCTGGGAAACGAGCGCGAATATCGGACTCTTCCTCCCAAGTAGCTCCGTGGCGATCCCACTGAATACGCACGAGGGGAATATCTCGCTTCCGGAGCCGACGAACCTGACGGTCTAGTACAGCTACCGGTCGCTCCTCGTACGATAGATCTGGCTGAATCTGAATATCCGTGTGAGGAATGACATGATCGGGGTCGCACA